AATAACTGGTTGACAGGTGTGACAACTGTCAGTGGTTTCTTTATCATGTCACATGAGGGGAGGCCTCTAGAAGGTTATCATTTCAAGTATAGGGGCCATGTGCAGGTATGAAAGGGATGGTCTGTTGGCTTTTTCTTTCTTCTACACCCGCCATCACAAAGACATTACTTCCTCTGATAATAATTGTTTTACAATGCTTCCAAGATTTAATTGAATACGTGATCTATCTGGTCTTAATTGCTTTACCTAATTCAAAGGGGCGATCGTGGCTCAAGAGTTGGCAGTTCGTCTTGTAATCAGAAGGTTGCTGGTTCGAGCCCCGGCTCGGACAGTCTAAGTTGTTGTGTCCTTGGGCAAGCCACTTCACCCACTGGTGATGGCCAGAGGGGCCGATGGCGCGATATGGCAGCCTGGCTTCTGTCTGTCTGCCCCAAGGCAGTTGTGGCTACAACTGTAGCTTGACACACACCAGTGTGTGAATGTGAGAGTGAATGAATAGTGGAATTGTAAAGTGCTTTGAGGGCCTCAAAAAGCTCTATATAAATGCAATCCATTGTTATTAATTTGGGGTTTAAATGTGGGAAATCTTCCAAAGCATTTTTTGAAGGTTAAGCTTTACTCTCTTCTGTTCTGTTCAGGCAGTCCTTCTCTATCTAATGAATGCAGTGCTCTGTGCAAAGTCTGGAGAAAGCAACTCTTTAGTGTCTGACTATGCACATAAACACTTTTGGGATATTTTATGTAACAATGGTTATTAAACTTCATTATTTTTTCCTGGTTATTTCATGACTAAAAATGCATTTCAAGTTTCAGTATAAAAAAAACTCATATTACAACCCAGGTGTTTTTTCTTTTGTAGAAAATGTGGGGCACAGTCAAGAACCCTATTTAGTTACATTTATTTATGTACATTTAGAGGATAAATGCAGAACAACCTTTGCTGGCCACTGGCTTTGTTAGCAAGCACATCACTCATGTACCTTAAAAGATAACACTGCTGACAGAACAAATATTGAAACCGCCGTGAGTAAACATTCTTTAAAACAATGGGTGATAATTTTCAGACAGTAAAAACAAGGAACCAGTTGTTTGGATTGTGCCTAAAAATCTTCATAGAACTAATTCAGTCACAAAGCAGCAACGTGATGCTGTAACATCACAAAATCAGACAGCATTGGAGGTGTTCGAGGAACAGCTTCAACAGAAGTGCTAAAGGAAACAAAAAGAAGCCCGAAGATACATTTAAAATGAAATGAAACATTTATACAGGCAATTCAAGGTCATTGAGTCATCACAGACAAATACTTCCTGTTTGTACAGTCTGTACAAGCATACTGTGCAAATATCTGTGCTTCTATTCTGTGAAATGACACTCACCAGCTTTCTTGGAGAACGTATCCTTGTCACCAAACAAAAGATCAGTTTAAACCCCAAAGACAAACTGCTGTTTCTGTTATTGTGGTCATTAGTAATCTAGTGTACAACTTGGAAATGATCTGCCATTATAAAAGGCACACATGTGTGCACAAACACACACACACATCTGTAACAACACTGCTGAACTTGTCAGACTTTAAGAAGTCTGATGAGCTCAAACCTGTTGCATCACTCGTACAGAGATCAGATGAAATAAATATATTACAAAAAAAAAAACCCAGCACGCCCCTGCGGGCGGCATTTCAGTCGGGTCCTCTACAGAGGCCTGGCTTGGGGTCCTCTACCAGAGGCCTGGGAGCTTGAGGGTCCTGCGCAGTATCTTAGCTGTTCCCAGGACTGCGCTCTTCTGGACAGAGATCTCCGATGTTGTTCCCGGGATCTGCTGGAGCCACTCGCCTAGCTTGGGAGTCACCGCACCTAGTGCTCCGATTACCACGGGGACCACCGTTACCTTCACCCTCCACATCCTCTCGAGCTCTTCTCTGAGCCCTTGGTATTTCTCCAGCTTCTCGTGTTCCTTCTTCCTGATGTTGCTGTCATTCGGAACCGCTACATCGATCACTACGGCCGTCTTCTTCTGTTTGTCTACCACCACTATGTCCGGTTGGTTAGCCACCACCATTTTTATAATATATATATATTAGGGGTGCAACGATACACAAAATTCACGGTTCGGTTCGATACTTTGGTGTCACGGTTCGATATTTTTTCGATACAAAAAAAATGTTCATGCCTTTTTAATTTGTCATTTATTAAAATTATAAATATATATTTTAACTCAAAAGTACAGTTTTTAAATTTAATGTTGCTGAAACAAAAGTAATTAAAAAAATAAATATATCTCAGGGCTCTCAAAATTTCAAAATCCCTGGTAGCCCTTCGGGCAGGGACTCTTCAGTTTTTGGTAGCCCAAAATAAATGTAAGTAGCCCGAATAAAAAAGAGAGCAATTTTTTGATTGATGTTTTGTTTCCTTTACAATATTATACATTAAAGTATAATATTGTAAAGGAAACAAAACATTAATCAAAAAATTGTTGAAAAACAAATTACAACATTGTATAAAAATTACAATCATCAACTCAAATACTTGGTTCTAATTGAACAGAAATTTCTATGAACTTGTAAGAACTGTGTAGGACATGAATCAGTCTGTGTCAGATCCTGAATTTGAAATTTCCACTGAAGTCACGGGTAAGAGACAAGTGGAACCAAGATCTAGGCCATTTGCTTTTTGAAGTTTGCAAAGACTGCTAAATTTTGCCAGTGGTAGTTCACTCTTTGCAACATAGTACGCTGTTCTAAACAGATTTTTCAGGTTTATTTTTAGTATGTTATTTGCAATTGGTGTTTGTTCTGGGAAAGATATTGCAGACTGAGCAATAATGCATTTCTTGCATTTCTCATGGGTTCTAATGGGGGCCTTTCTTAAAATGACTGGTCCCAGTAACAAAGGCGCTTGTCGACTCAGAAATCGAGAGAAAACCAACAACACACCCGGCAGAACATTATGTTATTTACACGGGTGCACATAAGTGGTCCGCATGTGCGCATTCGCTGTCAAAATAAAAGACGCGCACCAGATAAGAAGTTGCAACGCGCGTTTGCGTCCATATAAAAAGCACTGTTTTTGTCCGCTAGAGTGGGATTTTCACGGCACATTCCGCACCACATCTCTGTGCGTTCATCATTTGTTTGAAGCCAGCTCACCTCCTGCAACCACTTTTCCGAGAATACGTGCTTCTTTTGTGGTTCGGACTCCTTCTGACATTTCTTTGGAGGTGGAGGAACACCAAAGTAATTGCTTAAAGGAGCTTCTTCGACATCTTTAAGAGTTCTAAACAAATGTCTGTCCTCCTCCAGAAAATCTTATGTATGCAAACACGCGTTGCAACTTCATATCTTGTTGCATATCTTGTTTTTTTTTGCAAAGTTTTTTCTACAAATGCTCAAGTTTTTAAACTGTTCCAACATCTCTCTCTGTATATCTGTATGTCTCTGAGCTTCTATGCTGAAATATTATTAAAATGAAGGTAAAAACCGACATGATCATTCTGCTCAGACCCCAAGCAACTCTCCAACACTTCATGGGCTGGATGCTTCTTCTACACACATCATTCAAAGCCACACCTGTGCGTGCATGTGCAGCGAGTGGCTGTGATCTTGGAGTACCTGAGGCAGGTAGGGATCACGGCCAACTGGTAATCAATCTGGGACCTTGGGATATCACATGTTGACAATTTATCATCTCTCTTGTACTGACTTGTTTGCATCTGAAAACTTTGAAATTGTGGTCAGATTATTAGCATCACTTGTAGCCTCATCAAAGTCTTAACTTGTGTTTTTATTTAAAAAATGTTTTGGTGTGAAAAAATGAATTTGCTGATTTGATTTTGCTTTGTGATCCACACAAAGGAACCTGATTTGCATTTACAAAGTGGTAAAACAGATACATTCACACTGCACTCTTGTTTCACACTGGTCTAAACCTCATGCTTTTTCTCTGTAAAGTTCCATTTCTCAAGCTAACTTAAATTTCTCACACCATCTTCCTCTTTTTTGCTTGAGTAACGAATATTAAGCAATGTCACCCAACACTGATCATGCTTTATTTAAAGAAACATGATGCCACATTGTTACACATTAACTGACATTAACATTTGCTGTTATCTAGAGCTACGTTACCTACCAGTCATCTCTATAACCTCTTGCCACATAAACAAGAGGCAGTGGAGAAATACATCCCTAACTCTTCACCTGGGTTTTTCTTTGTTGATAAAAAGGCTAAAACTCCCCGGCCCTGCATTCAAGACCTAAATAGCATTGCTATGAAAAATAAATAGCCACTCACATTCATATGCGCTCCTTTCAAGACACTACTGGAAGCCAGAGTTTTCTCTAAGTTGAATCTCCAAAAAACCTTTCATTTTTCATTTCCACTATTTTTTGACTTGAATTGTAAACAAAAACAGATCAGATTTATATATGTAGCACCACATCGTAACATGTGCACTGTCAAATGTTGAATCTTATGTCAGCTTATTTGTACTTAGAAGCCAGTTTAACACACGTCTTCCTCTGTCGGCTTTGTAGGTTTATGACCATTGTTGGGTGGTCTAACCTTACTTGAGCAAAGAAGAGGAAGATGGTGTGAGAAACTTTGCTTGAGAAAAGGAACATTATAAAGAAAAAGCATGAAGTTTAGACAAGTGTGAAAAAACAGTACAGTGTGAATGAATCTGTTACAATAATCAAAACAGTTTGAAAACTGCTGCACTGAGTAACACTGTAAAAAGTCTGAAATGTATTACTATTACATCTAATGTGATCACTCTAAATTTTTCACATAGTCAGTACTAGCGAGTTGCTTTCTTGATAGCTCATATCTGTACAAAGGGAACAAAAAACCAATGAACATCACGTCTAAAGCTAAGTCAGCTTAAGTTCCGTCTCAGAGCTTCTTTTAGAATACATGACAAATGTTTTGTTCTCCTTCTCACAGTCCTTCACACATGAAGTCTATTTGCTTGAAAGCTTAAAAAGTGGAAGAATAACTGATGTCACTTCCTTTTTTCCTCTCAGTGTGTGAAAAGATAAACAGAACTTCAGTAAAACCTGACACCAACACATTCACACATTCTCCTTTGAGGCCGATTGCTGACAGGACACACTGCAGTCTGTTCAGAGCAAAACACACACGTTTGGTTTTGAAGTTTGAAAGCTGCTGACTGGATCAACAGTGAGGAGACATGGAAACTGTAGTTGGACTGTTGTTGATGATGTTTGGAGTGTCTCATGGTGAGCTGTTCAACTATTCTCATGTAGTCTTTCACAAATACTTGATTTTAAATCAGTAACATGTTTTGCAGCCATGACATCCAATAAAATCACTGAAAGATGTTTGAGCTGCTTCATCTATAAGAATAACAGTGAAATATATATTTTTTAAAAACACCTAAAATTCAGATAAAGATCAGATGAATACAGCCTCAGTTTGTGAATATCATTTTAACTTTGAACTAAACGTAACAATTTGTGATCTAATTTACATAAATATGCGCTAAAGCTGATTAAATCATAGAAAGAATAATATAATAAGAAAAATTGGATTATCCCTGAGCCCTAGCTGTGTGCAACATGTGTCGTTTTCATCTGCATGCATATAAATGCTTCTTTAGATCTCCTCGAATCTCTCTCCTCCCAAATATAAGAACAAAATCAGCATTAGCTCAGAGTAGCTTCATTAGATATGTGAATTAGATGGATGCGATTTGATTTTTTAAAATTTGTGCTTTTGCTTTGCTTGTGCCAAGTTGCTTTGATAAAATCTCTCACAATTAGAGTCAATTTAATTGTAGATTTTCTCTTAACCCTTTGTAAAAGAAAATAAAGGTATAAATCTGAGTATTAATCCTTATTACTCCAAACAGCTTGTGTAGGTTGTTCTAGCCTTTCCAGGTAACACACCCTCGAAGGTGCCGGTGCCGGTGTCCTGGAGGTTTTAGATGTGTCCATGATCCATCACAGCTGATTTAAAGGGCTAAATGACTCCTCAGCATTTCTTGAAGTTCTCCAGAGGCCTGAACTAATGAACTAATCATTTGATTCAGGTGTGTTAACCCAGGGTGCGATCTAAAACCTGCAGGACACCGGCACTCGAGGCCTGGAGTTGGCTACCCCTGCTATAGGTTAACAAGTACCACAATCAAGAGGGGAGATGATACAGTTTGACCTGCAAGCGTACTCAGGTTTCTTCATATCAGGGCAATCAGGGAAGACACCTGTTCATCAGTGCAGTCAGGCTGGGCGAGTCCCCTCACCCACACTGGCTCCAGCTAAACCCTGCATCATCTACTGGGTAAGACCCAGTAGAAAATCACCGTCCTGTACAAGGGGGTGGGTACTGAAAATTGACAAATATATTCTCTCTAGGTTTGATTAGAAGCACTGTGTTACCCACACTGTGAGTGTTTTTTGTGCTTCTGTTTTTATTTCAAGTTGACTAGTTTTTGACTTGGTAAAGTCAAGCCAGTTTAACTCACATATCTTTCTATCCCTCCTGCACCCTCTATTCTCCTGCAGCTACAGGAGAATAAAATCGTCAGATTACCTCTTTATGTAAAGCTTTAGGGATGTAGTTCTCCCTTGCCTCTTGTTTAGGTTGCGTTTACAGAAATGACTATTTAATGTAGCTGCAGTTAATAGTCAATGTTAAGTCTATTATATCGGTATCATGTTTCTTTGAATCAAACATGACCAGTGTTGAGTGACACTGTTTAACCTTTAAATATTTAAGTTGGCTTGAGAACCACCTTGTACATGTAAATGCTTCCTGTGTGTGAATGACAAAGCAACATCAAATCGGCAGTCATAAACAAAACATTTTTAAACTTCTGCACTGGCTAACACTGTGATGAGTCTAGAAGTGATGCTAATACATTCATATAAACCCATGATATACCCATGCTCCAGACTGATAACAATACTATCAATAATATCAGTACCGTTGTGCCATTGAGATACTATGACAACTATTTAACCTGATCCATAGTGTTGTAGAGAGTGTTGGTGTTAATGTTTGGGGGCATTACACCCTGGAACCATCAGAGGTTTTTCAGGGCTTTCCCTGTCGGAATGTTGTGTGGGAAACATGTTCCTGTATGTGTTGTGGCTAACTGTTGATGCCTCCGAAAGTGGTCATTAAAAGTCCTGATAGTGGACCCTGAGTTTTCGAGCATTATTATCCTGAGATTATAACACATAGTATTTAATGGACAGTTGATACTGGTGGCTTTCCCTCTGTGAGCTGCTGGGAGACCTTATGGGGTTTTTAATGCTTGATGTGTTGTTTGTGTTGCGGGTGTCGCAAGACAATTTGTGAGATCACATCCTGAATTTACCAATTTAAAGGCAGTACATCGGCTGGTCATTCACCTTTGGATTTTTGGAACTTGGCGCATTGTGCACAGCCATCGCAGCTGGGTTGAAGACATGAGAGAACAATTGTGCCGATTTTTTTTTACCACCATTTTGATGAAAATGCAGTACAGAAGCTACTGACACAGTGTGGAAGATGTTGCAACTGTTTGAAAACTTAAGTTTGTGGAAAGAATGTTGCAAAAAACCCCCACATTTGACAAAGTTTTGGTTTCCAGGTTTTCAGTTTTGACTCTTTTTAAAAAAAAAACCTGTCTGACGTGATATTGTCTAATTGGTGACGCTTGTCATTTACAAAATTATTGCTGGTATACATGGCTGCATGATGTATCATTCTCTCTAGCTAGTGATCAGCGCAATGCATGCTATGTCCTATGTGAAAGGGCCTTGGGTAAAGGTATCTGAGGAGGCATATCTTGTGTTGTGGGACTGAATAATAAAAAAACACCATAGTATAACTGGTCAAAAATAAAGTCTGAAGTACTACTATTTTTTTTAACCCCAAGGGCATGCAAGTATTTCCCACACTCTTGCTACACAACATGTATGTGCATATATGTATAGTATGTTACCACTTCCCTTTTCAGGGAACGAGAAGTGAAGCACCAACACTTAAAGCTGTTCTGCAGCAATGGAGGTTACTCAAGCCTTGAAAGTTTTTCCTACATGCGTCCAAAGTGTTCTTGATTACTTACAACCCTGCCCCTGCAGATAGAGGTGTTTGCAAAACTAGTGTTGGAACATGCTGTGATACCATGTCCTTGTGAGTATTATTTGAACTGTAATGTACAGCAGAAGATCATGTGTTTCCATAAAAATGGCAAGAAAAAGGAAATTAACCCTAGAAGAAAGACAGACCATCATAACATTTAAAAATATTTCCTACACAGAAATTGCAATGAAGTCAAGATGTCGGTCAGTAGTTTCCTTCACCATCAAGAACCACTCTAAGTAAACTGACGGGATGAGGTCTGCAGACTTCAAACCACACAGAATCAGAAGATACATTTCTGAAAGTCAAGCTTGTGTGGGACACCTCACAAGACCACAGCTTTAAAACTTGATAGTGATTGTAGAAAACAAATCTCAGTTTTGACTGCAAAGAGAAGCCTTTAAGTTGCAGGTTTGACAGGTCGAGTTGCAACAAGAAAACCATTTATAAGATGCCAGAATAAGTTAAAAAAAAGGGTTGCCTGGGCCAGGAACCACAAATGTTGGACTACTGTAGACTGGAAGGCAGTTTTATGGACTGATGAATCAAAATGTGAGATCTTTGTTTCATGCTGAAGGGATGGTTCCTCAGTGTGTAACAGCATACGTCAAATAAGTAAGAGAAAGCGTCTGGTCTGTATGTAAAGTCCTTTTGCAATGGCATATTTTGATGTTTTGGGGACTACATCAATAAAACTAATAAACTAAATCATAACAACAATAAAAAATAATGTCTAAAAAAAGGCAACAAAAGTGTAGCTGGTCAACAATAAAGTGTGAAGCAGTATCATTATTCTTTACTAAATATTATGTAGCACACTCTTGCTACATATGTATATGTAAATAAATGTATGTTACAAGCTGTACTTATATTATATATTTATATTCCTGCAAACATATTCTTCACTCAGTGCTCACCATGCTGACTGACATGTTTTTCCTTTTTACTTTGTGTTTAAAGATGAAAAGTAAGCCACAATTGATCTTGTGCTTTTGTTATCCACATATCTGTAACTGATCATTTCTCTTAATACAGTAACACAGTTTTCTTATTAACATAATCTCAGATTCAAAACTTCTTTCAAAATAAATGAATATTGTTTCGTTCTCTTACTCTCAGATCATAACGACATAATTCTGTTTTCTTTAAGCTAAAAAGTGGAAGAACTTGTCACTTCCTTTTATCCTCTCAGCAGATGAAAGAATAAAGAAAACTTCAATAAGTCTTGAAACCAGCTTTTAAAAAAAATATTTTTAAACCCCTCTCATTCGAGGCTTATCACTGACACTTTGCTTCAGTTCAGAGCCGCTTACATGTTTAGTTATTCTGAAAGCTACTGAGTGGATCGACAGTGAGCAGACATGGGAGCTGTAGTTGGGTTGTTTTTGGTGATGTTTGGAGTCTGTCATGATGAGCTGTTCAAATTTTCTCCTGTAGTCCTTCGTTAATACTTCGTTTTATAGTCAATGTGTTGTTGTTTTCAGCAATGGGAATCAGTAAAAGAAGTCTGACATTGTTGTAGTCTAAACAAATCCCCGGTACACACCCGCAGAGGAATTATTATTCTGATGCTGCTTTGAGCAACGTGAAGTTATAGACATCAGCAACCACAGTCAACTGTCTTCCAGGTGCCAGAGCAGGGGACGGTGAGGGAAATTTAAAACTGCTTGGCTAACGGTAAACATAAATTCAGTAAAATCTTTTTTGACGCCAGCGGTAACGACATCTGGTTTAGTCAATTGAAGGTGACAAAACTATTGCATGGTTGTGTAACTTTGGTAAAACAATGTTGTATTCTGTAGTGTTCATTTGTTACCATTACCAGCAAATCAAACAAGTACAGGATATCTTAGTTCTTCTAAAATTGCTGGCTGTCCGAGTGGTGCCCTAAAAAACAATATGTTTTCTGTAAATAATTGCAAAACTTTGTGGGGGAAACCTGGTCTTTTTTTTTTTATGGGAAAGGGGATCCATCCCAATTTGGATGAAGCAACTCTCATTTCTCCAAACCTGGACAAATTTATTAAACCTCAAAACGTGGCTAAACAGAGTTGGGACCAGGAAGCAGCGTCACTTCTCTCCTCCTGGCACCCCCCTAGAGACCGACAAAAAGTAAAAAGAGATTTAAAGCAAAAAAAAAAAAATAAAATTAATAAAAAAACAACAACAGCAACAACAAAACATTACAGGGGCCGTAGCTCCACCAAAGAGTAAAACAGTTAAATGTGGATAAGTTGAACATTAGGTCCCTTTTACCTGGTTGCAGCAGGATGAATGTTTAGTTTATTAGATGAATCAAAACCTCGGGTCATACTGTCAGTGTCCATAGCTGGACTGGCCATTGGGCATACCAGGCATTTGCCAGGTGGGCCGATTGTGATTTTTAATCTTTATGGGTTTTCTTTTCGTAACGGTATAAACAATGAAAGGTGGTGGATTGGCCAGATACTGGCAGATGTGTAGAAATAACTCAATTGTTTGGTGGTGGCTATAGCAGAGCTTCCACAGATTCAATAACATTAGCAAGTGGTGGAGGACAGCAGGTGGGCCTCCTGCCTCACCGCTGGTCCGAGTATCAGCGGAACTGAACTTCAGGTGAGAAGTTATGACCTGCAGTCTATCTGGGTCAGATACAAACCAAGTTTAGTTTACTTTCGTTGTGCTAACTTTTTACAGTCAGTAACAATAACTCGCACTGCGTATTAGCCAGCATGACGGAGTTTCTATACTGCTGGGCGGGTGCTACGATGTTACTAATGGTAAACTTTATTTTATTCATAAGGTTAGTTATTAGAGAACGCAATCTTCTCGTAGAGAAAATATTACGCATTTTGTATTGCGGTGAAAAGGAACGCAATTTGTCCCGTACTTCAGCTACAATGAAAAAAAGACACAAAGCTGGAATTATTCTGTGTGTTTATGCTGTCTCCTTTCACTTTTTAAAGGTTGCCATGTTAGAAAAAATATTTTGCCCTGCCATGCTCCTTTTTTATGTGGTAAATAAATAGTTTATGAAAATATCACTAAATCTGTCATTTATTATTTTTAATATTCAGTAATGATCAAGTTTCACCTCTAGTCTTCTAATTTCAGGTTTCCACTATGTGTTGTAGATCGTTCAGGAGGTTAACTCAACCAAGCAGTCTTTGGGTTTCGGCTAAGTACTGTTTAGAAGACTAGAATAGGGAGGGTGGTGTAGGTTTAAGTTTATTAGATTGATACATGTATACCAACAAGACAGTATATATCACGTTTGTTTTCATTCAAAGGGTTTATGGTTTTTCCTATAATACCTGGTGAGCAGGTCTCTAGTCACAAATTTTGTCCCAGTCCAGCCCTGACAGTGTCCTTAAAGCACAGGTCCACGTGGTGTGTAGCAGCAATCTTCCACTCCAGAAGATTTAGTGCTCAGTTCAGATAAAATAATTATTGTGGTTGATCTTAACATCCTTGCAGATGCTGAAAGTAAATATAGTTATGACTGTTGGAGCTGATTAATTTATATTTGAATAATAATATCAATAATAAAATAGGATGAAAGGCGTACCCTTTTTTCAAATATTTATTTAATGCATTTAGGTTTTGGAAAATCCCTCAATTACTTATTTAATTGCATTTTTGAGGGGAACAACTAAGCTGTAGTGCCTCTTCACCTCACTGTGCAATACCTTTTGTGCATATCATTCTTTGGTAGCGAGAACCCCTTTTTTGTGGTGCTAAAAAATACCCGGGGACGAAGTACAAAGTTTAACCAACAGGATCTGTTAATACATAATATACAAATACAAATATATACATATATATGTATATATATATAATATAACATATATTATATATATATATATGATTATATATTAATAATATTATATAATAATATATATATAATATATAATATATATAATTATACTATATATATATATATATATATATATATATATATATATAGATAGATAGATAATAATAATAATAGTTTGTTGTATATATATATATAACAATTCTGTAACTGTAACTTCGGTCGTTGCTGTGCTTTTTTTGGAAGTCGAATTTCCCAGAGGAACCCACCCGAGGGATTAATAAAGTTCTATCTTATCTTATCTTATCTTATCTTATCTTATCTTATTTTACAGACACTATGTTAGTGTAATTGAAATACTCTGCATTATTTGATCATTTTTAGTGTTTTAACTAGACCAATGTGAGGAGTTCCCTGAAACATCAAAATATCAAAATTGTTCATTCTTGCTATGTTTTGTATTTAAGCTTTTGACATTTTAAATTAAGTATCTACATAGGTCATGATGTTATGATGATGAGGCAATATGAAGAGTAACCGAACCTTCTTTCATATCAGGTTCAGTCATGTCGTTTTATTATTTGGACATGAAACCCATAATTTTTAAATGTTTGTTATGAAAAAAACTCACTCTGATTAGGAAATAGTTGGCTGTAGCCTCGCTATGGTTTAGTCACAGACCTGTGTAATGCTCATTCACTTTGTGTGACCTGAGATAGGTCACACTATTTCTGTTTTAGGTAAACATTTGGAAATGTTGCCATAAATGTTCTGGTAGCGACTGAACACTGAAATTAGTGATATCTTTTCTTTAATTCATTATTGTTATTATTTACAGGTGTGGAAAGTTACTGTGACGGCAGACCAGATGGAGCTCATTGTTATGGAACTTTGGGAGGAACTTTGGACATCAAACTGACGGACAACACCTCAGAAATATTCAAATTCCTACTGTCCAAGAATACATCAGTAATAAAATACAGGAGAAGCAACAGTCTTAAATATAGTACGACAGATGAAAGATTTCTGTTTTATCCCAGTAATGGAACACTTAGGATACATAACCTGAGCAGTACAGACAGCGGAAAATATAACTTTTTGACCTTTAATTCAGATGGAAAAATATCAGCTGAGCGGACTTTACAGATTTTTATTCAAGGTAATTTTTCCCTGCATTACTAGATGTTAACATTGTTCTGGTAATCCATATATATGCATATATACAGTGTGTAAAAAGAAGTATTGAACACATCACCAAATTTCTAAGTAAATGTAATTTTAAAGGTGTTATTGACATGAAATTCTCACCAGATGTCAGTAACAACCTATCCAACCAAACACATGAAAAGAAAAATAGATAAATCGCCCTCATCACCCTAAAGTGAATTCAAGCGCTACAAATTATTTCACAAGTTCTAAGTTCAAAAGCCTCTTATTAACAAACTCTGACAGAAAGAAAGTTCTGTGAATCTGAGTGTCTTCTCTGTTTCCTGTACAGAATCTCCTCTGCAACACACACTCTCACAGGGCTCTGCTGAACCGTTATATAGACAGCATGAGGCACATTAGAAATATCTGTGAATATAACAGGGAAAAGGACTTGCAGATCAGCGAGGAGCTCACTATCACAGTTAAACAACACTTAGGAAAAGATTAGAGGTCAGATCCCAGCTGAAATAGGGTCAGGTCATTGCCAGATGCTTCACACACATGCTTGACTGTTTCAGGTGCATCCAGGAGGGGATGGGGATCCTGGCAGATCCCTCCCCTGTAAGGTAAGGTGGGATGAGAGAATACACACACAGCCACCAGCACACAAAAAGGATACAGAGGAGGACTGTGACATTTGTCTTGTAAAATATGGTGCAAGAGTGAAAACTCTCAAGTGTGTTTTATTTCACAGCTCTAACTTTTCAGAAATATGTGTGTGTCTCTACACAGGTACTTCCTGGTTCATACATGGTTTGAAAGCAGTGGTAATTGCGGTGGTAATTATATCATTAAGTGGGATTTGGATCTACTTCACTTGCACTTGGAAGAAAAAAACAATATTAGAAGGCTCTGCTGTCCCACAAAGGATGGAATCTCCAGATAACTCTGTTTTAATGACTGAAATGAGTCCTTACTCCAACACCTAGTGTCACCTTTCACCTGCTGTAAATTCGCTGTGTGTCCTTACAGGTGTGCAAATGAGGACTAGGTTCTTCTTCTTCTTGTTCTTTTTTCTTTTGTCATATGTAGTGCACAAGGACACATTTGTTTACACCCTTCGGTGTGTTTGTGTTGCATTTTATAATAAACCATATAGTTTACAATGTGATTTCAGTGTGTGAATAAAGAGGTAACAAAAATGTTTATTTCTGGTTCTTAAAAGCAGGAATAGTCAAAGAAAAAAAAGACCATGGAAAAGGGGAGAGCAAAAACTTTCGAGGAAAGGAGCTAAAGAACTGAAATAACATTTGAGTCGAACATCAACAATCAAGTTAAAAAGGGTCACGTTTTTATGTTGTGCAGTGTCGGGCAACAGAACTTCAACTGGATGGCATTTAGCCAGATTTGAGCAGACAGTATGTCTCTGAACACCTCAAAATAAATTCGGCTGCGTATGTCCTGTGTCATCAATAAACACTAGTGTCCTAGTTCCATTGGCAGCCATGACATGCCTCCGCTGTTTTTTACAGATGATGTGGTATGCTTTGTATTGGTCTTTCACATGGAATTCCAATAAAATTGATTCATGTTTGTGGCTGTAATGTGACAAAATGTGAGAAAGTTCAAGGGGACTGAATACTTTTGCAAGCCACTGTATATAAAAGGGCCTTGGCTAAAGTTCTCTGAGAAGACATATCTTGCGTTGTGGGACTACATAAATAAAACTAAATTTAAAGTCTGAAGAAGTACTTTCTAGTTTTTTTTAACCACAAGGGCATGCATGTATGTACCACACTCTTGCTACACATTATGTATAACAACTTAAAGCTGTTCTGCAGCAACGGAAATGGATTAAGCCTTGAAAGTTTGTGCTACCATTTCCTACATGCGTCCAAAGTTTTCTTGATTACTTACAGCCCTGCTCCTACAGATAGAGGCTTTTGTAAAAGTAGTGTTGGAACATGCTGTGGTACCATTCCCTTGTGAGTATTATGTCAGCCTGCAGTTTCCTTTGCCATCAAGAGGCAATCCGAGGGGAAGAGGTCTGCAGACCTCAAACCACACAGAATCAGAAGATACATTTCTGAAAGTCAATAGCTTGTGTGAGACACTTAATAAGACCACAGCTTCAAAACTTGATAGTGATTATAGTAAGCAAGTTTCGGTTTTGACTGTAAAGAGAAGATTTTGAGTCGCAGGTTTGACAGGTCGAGTTGCAACAAGAAAACCATTTATAAGATTCCAGAATAAGTTAAAAAAAAAGGGTTGCCTGGGCCATGAAACACATCTGATGGACTACTGTAGACTGGAAGGCAGTTTTATGGACTGATAACTCAAAATGTGAAATCTTTGTTTCATGCAAGATTTTTATATGTCGTTGAGTAGGTGAAGAGATGGTCTTTCCCTTTTCACGTCCTTTGAAATGGCATATTTTGATGTTTTGGGGACTACATCAATAAAACTAATAAACTAAATCATAACAACAATAAAAATAATGTCTAAAAAAGGCAATAAAAGTGTAACTGGTCAACAATAAAGTGTGAAGCAGTATCATTATTCTTTACCACATATTATGTAGCACACTCTTGCTACATATGTATATGTAAATAATAGTATGTTACAAGCTGTACTTATATTATATATTTATATTCCTGCAAACATATTCTTCACTCAGTGCTCACCATGCCGACTGACATGTTTTTACTTTTTACTTTGCGCTTAAAGATGAAAAATATAAGCCACAATTGATCCTGTGCTTATTTTGTTATCCACATATCTGTTAGTAGGCATTTCTCTTTCTCGTTGACGTAATCTGTCAGTTTTGAGACTTATTTCAAAATAAATGACGAATGTTTCGTTCTCTTCCTCTCTGTTAATCGCGATATATTTTTATTCTCGTCAAACTAAAAAGCGGAACAAGAACTTGTCACTTCCTTTTATCCTCTCAGCAGATGAAAGGATAAACAGAACTTCAATAAGACTTGAAACTAGCTTTCTTTGAAAACCCTGTTGTCCGAGGCTTATCACTGACGCTTTGCTTCAGTTCAGAGCCGCACACGTGTCTGTTTTTAATTATTTTGAAAGCTGCCGAGTGGATCAACAGTGAGCAGACATGGAAGCTATAGTTGGATTGTTTTTGATGATGTTTGGAGTCTGTCATGGTGAGCTGTTCAAATTTTCTCATGTAGTCCTTCGTTAATACTTCGTTTTGTAGTCAAAGTGTTGTTGTTGTTGTTGCTGTTGTTTTAAATCAGCCACGGGATCCTGTACAATCAGTTAAAAAAGTCTGATATTGCAACAGTGCTGGATATTGTTGTAGTCTAAACACCCCCGTACCCTCCCTGTACACACCCCGCGGGGTAAATATTATTTTGATTATTGGCGATGATGCTTTGAGAAACGTGAAGTTCGAGACAGCGAGAACCACAGTCCCATGTCTTCCAGGCAGTGGCGTGTCTAGAAAATTTTTGTTGGGGGGGCAGGTAGGGGCACAGAATTGGAGAAGGGTGGCAGATGTAATTGGCAGATAATGTTAAAAAAATATCTTAACAACTGTTAACCATAATTCAATAACCCTATAAACCTAATAACCGAAAGCACTTTTAACTCTTATTAGAATGAGATTTTAACCACTACGGTGCAAAGGTTTTAGATACTGCATTGATAAAGTACAAGAGATACAATCAGTGCTTTGTTGGTGTTTATTCAGCATTCAAGTACAGCAATATTTGCATAGTATTTTTACTGACATATAGCGCACATATTTTTTTTTTTGGCAAAAACAGTTTTGAATTTTAAAATACGAACATTTTTAACATACAATTTGCAAATTAGCCAATGCCAATGCAAAGCTTTATCTGCCTATTAAAAAAAGAAGATAATCTTCTCACAAACTGGTGTTTGATTTTGAAAAGGAAAAAAAGTGGGGAAACAAATGAAAAGACTAACATTTGAATGAAACCTGAAAGCAAGTAAATACTTTCTATGCTGCCCTATACATTTTACGTCAGATAAAACTTTTGTTTGCAAGATTCAGATAATTATTTAATAAGAGCTAGATATTTTAAATGAGAATAAGAAAGAAAAGTATTTCTTTGTGCCCCCCTTTCCCTGTTAATACCCCACCTGGCCCCCTGGCAAAACTTTCCTAGAGAATGAGAGAAGAAGAGGCAGCTGTGCAGCGTAAACACACAGAATAACTCCAGCTTTGTGTCTTTTTTTCATTCTAGTTGAAGTACGGGACAAACTGCGTCTCTTCTCAGCTTAATAGGAAATGCGTAATATTACCGTTCCATTTTTTAAGGAGCCGTTGGCAACTCTACTAACTAACCTTGTGAATAAAATAAAGTTCACAACGTCAGCACAACGAAAATAAACTCCACCTAAACTTGGTTTATATCTGACCCAGATAGACTGCAGGTCATAACTTCTTACCTGAAATTCAGTTCACCTGACACTCGGACTGGCGCCCGCCTCGGGTCTGTCCTCCCCCTGCCTCGCCTTTCCCTCATCCACCTGCTGGCCTCTGTGGAAGCTCCGCCATAGCCACCACCAAACAACTGAGTTATTTTTACACATTGTGCCAGCATCTGGACAATCCACCACCTCTCATTGTACATACTGTTACAAAAAAAAAATAAAAATAATAAATAAGTCATCAGCCCACCGGGCAAATGCCCGGTATGCCTGATGGCCAGTCCAGCTATGTTAATCTGCAACCAAATCTGCAGCTCCATACAGCAATGTTACGACTTGGATTATATCTTATAACTCATAACTCGTATGCTAGCTCCCCCCAGTAGCCTACTGTCTGAAATATTCGACGGTTGCAATAATTCTTTAAGTGTTATTTTTTCCTTGGTATTCTAATTTCACCGAAGTTTACTAAACTCAACAAACTTAATATTACTTATCAGGACGTTTATTCTCTCCTCATTTTCTTTCCCCGAAAAATTGTTTTCTGCGGGGCCGTCTTTCCTGCATGGCTCTCCTTCCTTTGCTAACGTGATGCTCATAGTGCAGAAGTCAATGCTGCATTCACTTACACTTGGATATCTGTATCAGAATCAGAAGACTTTATTTATCCCCAAGGGGCAATTAACATACAACAGAGCAGCATAACGTTAAAGATAAGGACAATAAGAACAGGCAATAAGAGTGAGATAATAAATACACAGAATATACAGTATATACAGTTTTAGAATTACACAGTTTTAAAATTAAAGTGACTGAAAGGTGAATAAATAACTGTAAGTGACTAAAAGTGAATAAAGTGTCGGTAGTATAAAAAGAGTTTAGAGTAGTTTATGCTTATTGGTGTGGGAAAAGCTCTTATCGGCTGGTGTTAAAAAGCAGAGTGGCTTTGGGGAAAAAGGTGGCTCTCCTTCTCAGATAATTTTTTTTTTCTCCCATGTCCCCTGCGGGGCTCCGAACTATTTACATTTTAAATGGGTCTAGCTTAAGTAACACAATAGGTCATGATGTTATGATGATAGGGCAACATCAGCAGTAACAGTTACCCGAAACATAAAATTATTTTATTATTTGGACATTAAACCCATAATTTTTAAATGTTCGTTATAAAAAAAAAAAAAGACTCACTCTGGTTAGGAAATAGTTGGCTGAACTCTGGCCGTGTTTTAGTCACAGACCTTTGTGTGACCTGAGATAGGTCGCACTATTTCTGTTTCAGATAAACATTTGGAAACGCTGCCATAAATGTTCTGGTAGTGACTAAACACAGAAATGAGTGATATCTTTTCTTTAATTCATTATTATTATTATTATTATTTACAGGTGTGGAAAGTTACTGTGACGGCAGACCAGATGGAGCTCATTGTTATGGAACTTTGGGAGGAACTTTGGACATCAAACTGA